CAAAGTTGTTACTAGAACTGTAATAACACTTTACCTACACAAAGTTGATACCAGGACTGTAATAACACTTTACCTACACAAAGTTGATACCAGGACTGTAATAACACTTTACCTACACAAAGTTGATACCAGGACTTTAGTAACACTGTACATACACAGAGTTGATACTAGGACTGTAGTAACAATTTACCTACACAGTAAACAAAGCTGAAGGAAGTACAAATCCAGAGAAACAAGAACATAATCAAATCTGAAGACAAAATGGCTGTCCAGTGTGATTAACAAGTGTAAAATGCGCCGAAACAGCTGTGCGTTTTCACAAAGTAGGTGAAAAATGAGTAATGAAATATGGAGTTTAGTAATTATTTTCTTGTATATATTTTTCCATACGTAAATAAACATTTTCCACATTAATATGAAAACCAAGCAGAGCGTGGGCTCCAAATATTTTGTCAATTTTTTCCGTAATAACATTCTAGTTTGTGGTATCATGATCACAATTTGATGGTTAGAAACGTTTACTGTGGGGTGCTATATTTAGCTGTGGGGTTACTTTGTTTAGAACTGTATTTTATAGATCATCAGATTTTCTCTCCCTCTCTCCCAATAGCCGTCACCCAAGAAGAAGGATGTGGTTATTATCCCAGAAATGGAGTTTTGTCAAAGTGAAAAAATGACTATTTTTTTGGGTTCAACCTATGCCTACAAAGGTCTTTTGATGGTATGTGATTTGAAAAGTACTCTTGTCTGCTGTAAATCAAAACGTCTTTGCTGTTACTTGTGCCTTTTATTAAATAAAGTTAATTAAAGCACAGAGTTTTTTTTACATTTCAGTTAGTGTCTATAGTATCTTGATTTACATTATTTTTATTTTCAATCAAATACAAAGTAATTACCGCTTTCTCAAGCTCACTCACTTTATATAATTATAAGAATTCCTTGCTGGACAATCAGCTTCTTCTTGTTTTGTTTTTCAGGCCTTTGGATGTTTTCTAGCCTGGGAAACACGACATGTCAGTATTCCTGCGCTCAACGACTCCAAGTATGTCGGGATGAGCGTGTATAACGTGGTCATCATGTGTGTCGTCGGTGCTGCCATCTCCTTCGTCTTAAGAGATAAACAGGATGCTGCTTTTATTATAATATCTGTCTTCATCATCTTTTGCTCCACTACAACATTATGTTTGGTGTTTGTACCCAAGGTACGTGTCTGCAAAGACTAGTTGAACAATAGTCACAATAAATTATTTACGTATTGATTGGACGGAAAGTTTAACCAAGAAAAAGATCGACAACCTCTGGTGTTTGTTTGTCACAATACAGCACAAAGCTACTAATCTTGAACTCATATATAGAGGGAAGGAATAGCTCTCTCCGTCAACTTTTGGGCTGTTCTTGTTTGATCTAATAGTGAGATTTGACTGTTATTCTTTTAAAGCACTCACGACTTCAAAAGCTCGTGTTTGCAACAATGGGTAGCAAACCATGAATCCCGGGAATCACAGTACAGGCACGTTAATTTGAGAGCCCACCCCGGAAACCAATCAAAGATTATTTTTTATTTCTAAAAACATTTTTTTCCACATTTCAATTTTTCTAATTGTAACAGACAGACATATCTTAAATTACCTGTTTACAAAATTCGTGATGTTCAACAGTTACTTAAATATAATGGAGATGTCGGGAAAAATTATAATAATCCCTCTTTTTGATTTTAGAGAAAGAATTTGTTTGGGTAAAATACTGTGACTATTTTTGTCAGATGGAAAATATTATGTGTGACCTTTGTAAGATAGAGCAATATAATGTAACTCTTGTTATTAGGGTAATACCTGAAAATAGCGTGACTTTTCTGTGAGTACAATGTCTGATCATAATGTGACTGCGTTTCGTAAGTACTAAACTAGAAACATTATGCGTGACTGGCGTCTAAAGGTAATGTGATTTGCTTTTGTTTTTGGAACAGTCCCAACAGTAGGATTATATCTGAAGGGTTATAATGTGAAACCTGTATGGTATATCGATCTGGGTTTAATGAAGGACTATAACGTGAAACTGTGTGGTATATCGATCTAGGGTTAATGAAGGACTATAACGTGAAACTGTGTGGTATATCGATCTGGGGTTAAAGAAGGACTATAACGTGAAACTGTGTGGTATATCGATCTAGGGTTAATGATTGACTATAACGTGAAACTGTGTGGTATATCGATCTAGGGTTAATGAAGGATTATAACGTGAACCTGTGTGGGATATAGATCTGGCGTTAATGAAAAACTATAATGTGAAACCTATATGGTATATCGATCTAAGGTTAATGAAGGACTATAACGTGAAACTGTGTGGTATATCGATCTGGGGTTAATGAAGGACTATAACGTGAAACCGTGTGGTATATAGATCTAGGGTTAATGACGGACTATAACGTGAAACCGTGTGGTATATAGATCTAGGGTTAATGACGGACTATAACGTGAAACTGTGTGGTATATCGATCTGGGGTTAATGATTGACTATAACGTGAAACTGTGTGGTATATAGATCTGGGGTTAATGACTGACTATAACGTGAAACTGTGTGGTATATAGATCTGGGGTTAATGATTGACTATAACGTGAAACTGTGTGGTATATAGATCTAGGGTTAATGATTGACTATAACGTAAAACTGTGTGGGATATAGATCTAGAGTTAATGAAGGACTATAACGTGAAACCGTGTGGTATATCGATCTGGGGTTAATGATTGACTATAATGTGAAACTGTGCGGTATATAGATCTAGGGTTAATGAAGGACTATAACGTGAAACTGTGTGGTATATCGATCTGGGGTTAATGATTGACTATAACGTGAAACTGTGCGATATATCGATCTAGGGTTAATGAAGGACTATAACGTGAAACCGTGTGGTATATAGATCTAGGGTTAATGACGGACTATAACGTGAAACTGTGTGGTATATCGATCTAGGGTTAATGACGGACTATAACGTGAAACTGTGTGGTATATAGATATAGGGTTAATGATTGACGATAAAGTGAAACTGTGTGGG